AAACCAAGTGTATACTAAGGTATCACACTAGTATATTTATATGAATGACAACAATAAAAAATATAATAAAAAGCACAAACAAAAACGTACCTGTCTTAATCCATGCTGGGATCCTTTGTGACAGATTTTCATTGCCTGGTTGGCTTGAGGATGCTTATGAAAGCTAGAGGAAATTCTACTACTTCACCTTAACTTTATTTCTTTTAAATCAGACACAAATGTGAACAGGTTTAAACTCAATACTAAAAGTGTTTAAAAAGTGTTTGCACACTAGATATTTTTTTGCAGATATATTTCATATCTTCAAACTGAGTTAAATAAATCCTAAAATGTGGACTTTATTCAAAGATTTTCCTGTTTTCTGTGTGTATATGTATTGTATATATATTGTTGAACAGGTGCTGTGTGTGGCCACTTGGAAGAGCTACTAAATTTCTCACCTTTGAATTTGCAAATTAATTTGATGTTGGTGAGCTAAAAGTTGAGACCATTTAAAAAGGTGCACAGAAGCTTTAACATCCAGAACGCCTCCAGATGAAAAGACAAAAGAAATTGTATTAAGAGGTTTCATGTAATTTGTCTAATCAGTTTAATATGTATCATATTTTTTCAGAAAGTATTTCTTAACTTTGCATAGCTTAGAGAGAAGCTATTCCAGTAACTTTTAAATTTAAGGTAATTTATTCTGTGTTTGCAAAAAAAAAGTCAACTACATGAGGTGAAAGTTTTCTTTTAAAATTTCTCTATATAGCCTAAAACCAAATGGCACCACCAAATTTGAAAAACACCCAGATTGGGCTTTTTCTTTCTTAAACTTAAAAAGTTTGACAACTATTTAAACACAAAGGACTGCTGCAGTCTCAACATGGATCCGATTTTTGATTCGTATCGGGTTCGGGAATCCGCTATGAATCTGATCTTTTAAAATGCGATCTGTGTGTAAATGGCCAGATCTCATTCATCCAACCTGTATGCAACACTCAACAAAGGTCACCTTTTGTTTTTCCTTCTTCTACACAGAAGCAGAAGATGGAAAAACAAACATGTCAGACGATAATGCAGAGAGCAGTCTTTTTGTTTAACCATGTAGAAAAGATAGTTTTTAAGGTTAGGCTAGATGCTCTCCAGCACTACCATCCATGTTTACTTCTGTAAACACAAAGCATGCTTGCTTGTGACGTCATCCTGTCCTCTACTACTACGCTTGTGGGAAACAATCTTTATGAACGCAGTTCACACAGAGATCACATGCAAGTCGCATATATTTGGAAATGTGAACGGCAAAGAAAAAAAATTGGAATTCGCAAAAAATGGAATTGAACATTAAGGCCTGCAGTGTGAATAGCTTAGCTAATGCATGCTTGAAATGCTGTTTGAAAAGTATTCCCCCTGTGACATCATAAGGGGAAATAAACTGTGCAGTTTGTAACAGCCCACCAGTCATGATACGGCCTTCATCTATTCTATAATTCTTATTCAAAGCTCCTATGCCATCTTTACGAACGTTAACGGACTGTCATGGTTTTGGGTCGCGGGGGCGTGGCCTTTGGGAGGTCATGGAAAGCCGAAACAGCTCGCCCAGAGAAGGGCTGATAAGGAAATTTCTGGTACATGAGTTCTGCCTAATATGTGAGGAATTTTCCTTCAAAAACATGCTCTGGGGGACTCATTGTTGATAATTTTTTTTTATAAAAGTAAAACAATGTGGGACGTTTAAAATCAACCAGAGTTGTTATTGCTAATATATTGTGCATCTCTTTTTTTTAGTTAATAAAAACACACATCTGTCATGAGGTGGAGTACCCTGAATACGTAGTTTTAATAACAAGACTTCCTTTGGCAACAAACACAATTAGAACAATTTTAAAAGCTAAACATCAGTATTTTTACAAAACAAGTATAAAAAAAGTTTCACCAGGGCAGTTTGGAGAAGTATATACATTCATCCCTAAAAAAAAGAAAAGGGAATCTTTCCAGATTACAACAAAAGTAACAAGGTTTAAAATTGGTGGGATCCTTCAGTAACACTGTATGACATGTAATAGAAAACAGCCTCGGAACATAGAGACATCCTAAAATCTTAAAGTTGCATAAAACTGCGCACACAAATAAATTATAAAAATACTGTACTACAGAAAAACAGTTTTGCTGTGCATAACAACAGAGGAAATGTTCTTTTTTTGTCAACTTTGCAAAGAGTATTGCTTCACAGTATGTGGACATCACTGACAGAACGCTTACGACTGAAACGACACTTGAAATGAAAACAGGAGAAATAATACGGACGCATCCTTTAAAACAAGGAAGAATCACACCGGAGCCAAGGTTACGTCTTGGATGAGACACGGTGACACCTTTTGGCTTTCACATGGACCCTGACATGAACACAGTGATGAGTTTGGATCAGAAAGACAAAGAAAAAAAATACGGCATCATACGTATTGGGCAGTGAGGGCAGCCACTGAGTTATGGCGTATAATTTTTTTTTTGTGTCATACAAGCATAGACACTGCAGTTTAAGTTGAGGGAAGAAAGAAAAGAAACAGAAGTGTGCAACCAGAAAAAGTTGGTCTCATCAGTCCAGCACTGTTATCTCACATCTTTGGGGACTTTGAGAACTTTATAGATGTCATTGGAAAATACTGTGTTGAAGTAGGGCCGCGAGTTCCTGGACATGTGGGTGCAGAAGGGAGTTTTTCCAACGTTCTCAGGGTTCTCTACATCCCAGATCTCTGGCATGCTGCAGCCGGGTCTAAAGAAAACAGAAGAATGAGGAGAAACGTTTGTCTGCTTTGATTATTCCAGGATAACCAGAGGGGAGGGGCTGTGCTGGATGGACGGAGCCTACCTGGTCCGTCTGGTGCACCAGGAATCCTCCAGGACGAAGAAGTCCACCCCCAGTTTCTTTAGGTTTCGTTGAACAGTTTCTCCAGTCATGCGGCTATACATGGAATAAACCAGCTTGGTTCTCTCCCTGTGTGATTGATTAAGTTGATCAACTTATTGAAACATGAAATGCTGACATATTTAACTGTTGGATAACAATGCACTGCCAACAGAATCAGATAAATAATTTAAATCAGAAATATCAAGATATGTTCTTTCTGCTCATAGAATGTGTGAATCGGTGCAGCTTAGCTAACCTGAGACCGGCGTCTTCGTAGTGGGGGTGGTTGACAATAGGCCGCCCAGCAGAAAGCTTTATGCTGGCCATGGTAGGCATGGCTCCGGCGAACACAGAGTCTGTAAAGGAGTTTCAAAATAAGGTTTTTCAGCGTTAATCTAGTCACCTGTAATTAATTTAATTCCTGCTTTAAACAACTTTGAAGAAATCTTCTGAGCAAGAGCAAAGTTTGTAATGAAAGCGGTGAGGGTGTGTCACCTGGGCGGGTGTTTTCCTGGATCCAGTCCAGCAGCTCCTCCTGTGGCAAGTTGCTGAACTCTCCAATGATCCCCCACTGGGCCTGCAGGTTGGCAACTCCCTGTATCGCCATCATCGCCATGACTCCAACAACTACAGCCTGGTGCCTGAACTTCTCACCTATCCACCCAAACAACTGAACAAAGGAAAGAGAAAGGGAAACTGTGATGCTCATCACACAGGTAGGGTATCAGAACTTTGGACTATCTTGGAAGAATTGACCTCTTTCAATGATTAATTTCCAAAACTGACATTAGAAAACTACCCAGTCCAAACAGAAACAGAAGGTTTTAATTATCATGCTTCCTGGCCCAAATCCTTCCTTACTGCCAGCACTATACGGCGGGCACTTATTCGGCTTAACTGTGAACGCACCCTTCGCCGTTTCTTAAGTGTCCTTATCAGTCTGAAGTATTCAGATCGGGCCTAAAACAATAACTTTCCCACTCCAGCCCTTTAGGTGGTAGTAATTGGTTCAAAGTTGGTTTGCAGCCAGATAGAAGGGATCAGAGGGTTACGACTAGCATGCAAATCCATCATATCTAAAAGTACAAGTAAGAACCCCCCCCCCCCCAAATCAAAACAGAATCCCAATTTGGTTAAAACAATATTGAAATTTTGTTTGTACAATAAAGAGTTTACAAGTGGCTTCAGACTTTTACACGACAGAAAGGCCACATCTCTGTTGATTTATAAATGTTACATGAAATAAGTTCTGTTCATGTCCGAGTCGACAGGGCTACACTATGAAACAAAACTCCTTAAGGGGAAATTGAGTAGAAATAAAATAGTTCTTTGAATACAAATAGTAAGAATCAACAGATTAACAGATTAAGAAGAGCAACAGCTGAACTATGGCCTTAAAGTGCTTAAGATATTTATTTACATGGCAAAGCAACACAGTCTTGGCGATACAAAGGAAATTGGGATGCTTTTGTTGATGCCTACAACCATGGAGAGGGAGGCACATTATACATATCTATCTATTTTAGCATTAACTAAAAAAAACTGCTAATTTATCATCGTTATTATATATAACTTATAATAATATTGGAATAATATTATTCCAATCTTTGTCGGAAGAAAATCTGGCAACAGCAATCAGAAAAAGTTGGAGCCAGATTGATGAAGGATAGTGTTTGTCACTCACTAAGTCCATCCCTCAGATACTGTCATAAAAGCCAGAGGTGATGCATCAAAATACTACTGATGTGTTGGAGCATTACTTTGTTTTTCATGATTCCATAATTTTATCCATAGAATTGTGTCATTCAATATTTTGTTCCCTCTGCTTGGTCTAAAAAAGTAACCGTTTTCTTGATTTCTTTTAGTGTTTTTTAAAGCCAGACAGTTGCCATTTTAAAGGACTTTAGTTTTGTGTCATGTCTGTGGTTTTCTTTATTTCTGCAAGATTAAACAACTGAATGAACATCCTCCGAGGCAGCTGATTCCATCATTTTTGCCAGGGGTTGTAGAACCAACAAGGAGGGAACTATACTGGGTACTCTAGCACCCTCTTGTGGACACAGACCATCAGGTTAAGTACAATGAGTGCTCTCACTAAAATAATTTGGAAACCAGAAAACTATGTGGCTTTACACAAAGGGGTCTACAGTATACTCTAAAACAGCATGGGACACAGTGTGAAAAGCTTCAGAGAGATCTGTTAAAAAGTGAGACAGTGCCGTTTTTCTAAAATATATAGCAAGGAAAAAGCACAGGACTATCCACAGGGATGGTCCTGTGCTTTTTCCTGAAGCCTGCTTGCGGTTTTGAGAGAAAGTATTTGAGTTTAACACCTCTATTGTGGTGAGATGTTGGTTGAGGCTGTAGGGGTTTGTATCTGTAATTGGTACGTTGATCAAGCTCCCATATCATCCTTCTCTGTTGTTTCATCAAGTCAGACATCACCCTCCCTGCTTACTGTTGGTGGTGTAAGTACCAGATCCCCTCGGGGCCCTTCGCATGCCAGTGACATTACGCTACATGATTGGCTGAATGTTGTCACAATCACATTGTGGTTGCCTAGAAAATCACCCAGCATCCTCAGATCTTAATAAAAAAGAATAAAAATAAGCAGAATTTTTTTTGCCACCTTTTTAAATGGCAGAACTCAGTCTGTCTTAGAAGGCAGTGCTTTTCTCCAAGATTGACAATGATTGTTTTCTTCTTTAAGCCACTTTAGATCACCAATGAAATGTTAATTAGTAACAAATATAGAAAAATTATATGTTGAAACTCCAAAAGAGATTAAATTCTTAAGATGGTGCAATACAGTTTGTCAGAATGGAGTTGCCACATGATGACGTCATAAGAAGGGGCAGGGCCGCGAGCAGATCTGGTACCTACAGGGGCACTGAACCAGTCTGCCCCCGGCAGTGGTGTCAGAAGTACACACATTTGTTACTTAAGTAGAAGTATAGATACTGCAGTTTAAAGACACTCAACTTGTATGAAGTATCAACTTGACCTCTTTACTCAAGTAAAAGTGAAAAAGTATGTGCTCCAAAAACTACTTGAAGTATAAAATTATAAAGTACCCATAAAAAAAAACAGCCAGTATATGAATTGAAAGCTCAATTTTTTGACTATTTTGAAAAATTCTTTGAGATAGGGCCAAGGATCTTGTTGGTTTCCGTCTCCATCTCCTGACACGCTCTCGCCCCTGTGTCCGACCTTTCAGACATTTTAACATCTTTTTCTGAATCCCACATTGTAGCATGGCAAAGACAATTCACGTTTGCAGTTTGAAGAACACCTGCTTGCTTCTGATGATTTCCTTTAGCTAACCAATGAGTGTTTGCGTTAGGCTTGTCCCGATCCGATCCACGTATCAGATCGGGACGCCAATNTTTTATAAAAGTAAAACAATGTGGGACGTTTAAAATCAACCAAAATTGTTATTGCTAATATACTGTGCATCCCTTTTTTTTTTTTTTATAAAAACACACATCTGTCATGAGGTGGAGTACCCTGAATACGTAGTTTTAATAACAAGACTTCCTTTGGCAACAAACACAATTAGAACAATTTTAAAAGCTAAACATCAGTATTTTTACAAAACAAGTATAAAAAAAGTTTCACCAGGGCAGTTTGGAGAAGTATATACATTCATCCCTAAAAAAAAGAAAAGGGAATCTTTCCAGATTACAACAAAAGTAACAAGGTTTAAAATTGGTGGGATCCTTCAGTAACACTGTATGACATGTAATAGAAAACAGCCTCGGAACATAGAGACATCCTAAAATCTTAAAGTTGCATAAAACTGCGCACACAAATAAATTATAAAAATACTGTACTACAGAAAAACAGTTTTGCTGTGCATAACAACAGAGGAAATGTTCTTTTTTTGTCAACTTTGCAAAGAGTATTGCTTCACAGTATGTGGACATCACTGACAGAACGCTTACGACTGAAACGACACTTGAAATGAAAACAGGAGAAATAATACGGACGCATCCTTTAAAACAAGGAAGAATCACACCGGAGCCAAGGTTACGTCTTGGATGAGACACGGTGACACCTTTTGGCTTTCACATGGACCCTGACATGAACACAGTGATGAGTTTGGATCAGAAAGACAAAGAAAAAAAATACGGCATCATACGTATTGGGCAGTGAGGGCAGCCACTGAGTTATGGCGTATAATTTTTTTTTTGTGTCATACAAGCATAGACACTGCAGTTTAAGTTGAGGGAAGAAAGAAAAGAAACAGAAGTGTGCAACCAGAAAAAGTTGGTCTCATCAGTCCAGCACTGTTATCTCACATCTTTGGGGACTTTGAGAACTTTATAGATGTCATTGGAAAATACTGTGTTGAAGTAGGGCCGCGAGTTCCTGGACATGTGGGTGCAGAAGGGAGTTTTTCCAACGTTCTCAGGGTTCTCTACATCCCAGATCTCTGGCATGCTGCAGCCGGGTCTAAAGAAAACAGAAGAATGAGGAGAAACGTTTGTCTGCTTTGATTATTCCAGGATAACCAGAGGGGAGGGGCTGTGCTGGATGGACGGAGCCTACCTGGTCCGTCTGGTGCACCAGGAATCCTCCAGGACGAAGAAGTCCACCCCCAGTTTCTTTAGGTTTCGTTGAACAGTTTCTCCAGTCATGCGGCTATACATGGAATAAACCAGCTTGGTTCTCTCCCTGTGTGATTGATTAAGTTGATCAACTTATTGAAACATGAAATGCTGACATATTTAACTGTTGGATAACAATGCACTGCCAACAGAATCAGATAAATAATTTAAATCAGAAATATCAAGATATGTTCTTTCTGCTCATAGAATGTGTGAATCGGTGCAGCTTAGCTAACCTGAGACCGGCGTCTTCGTAGTGGGGGTGGTTGACAATAGGCCGCCCAGCAGAAAGCTTTATGCTGGCCATGGTAGGCATGGCTCCGGCGAACACAGAGTCTGTAAAGGAGTTTCAAAATAAGGTTTTTCAGCGTTAATCTAGTCACCTGTAATTAATTTAATTCCTGCTTTAAACAACTTTGAAGAAATCTTCTGAGCAAGAGCAAAGTTTGTAATGAAAGCGGTGAGGGTGTGTCACCTGGGCGGGTGTTTTCCTGGATCCAGTCCAGCAGCTCCTCCTGTGGCAAGTTGCTGAACTCTCCAATGATCCCCCACTGGGCCTGCAGGTTGGCAACTCCCTGTATCGCCATCATCGCCATGACTCCAACAACTACAGCCTGGTGCCTGAACTTCTCACCTATCCACCCAAACAACTGAACAAAGGAAAGAGAAAGGGAAACTGTGATGCTCATCACACAGGTAGGGTATCAGAACTTTGGACTATCTTGGAAGAATTGACCTCTTTCAATGATTAATTTCCAAAACTGACATTAGAAAACTATCCAGTCCAAACAGAAACAGAAGGTTTTAATTATCATGCTTCCTGGCCCAAATCCTTCCTTACTGCCAGCCCTATACGGAGGGTATTCTTTGAGATAGGGCCAAGGATCTTGTTGGTCTCCATCTACTGACACGCTCTCGCCTGTGTCCGACCTTTCAGACATTTTAACATCTTTTTCTGAATCCCACATTGTAGCATGGCATAGACAATTCACGTTTGCAGTTTGAAGAACACCTGCTTGCTTCTGATGATTTCCTTTAGCTAACCAATGAGTGTTTGCGTTATACGAATCCTCCAATTACACTAGTTTTCACTAGATGAGGATGGCGCCAATGATCTGCATTGGGTGGCGCACATGACGTGAAATAAATATTTAGAAACATTAAACCGAATCCAAGACTATAGAGTACTGTTTGTTTTAAAAATGTAATGAATAGAAAGTACAGATATGAGATGTGAAAATGTAATGAGTGGAAGTCAGAAGTAGGAAGAGAAATAAGTAAAGTACAGATACCTAAAAAGTGTACTTAAGTACAGTCACTAAGTATTTTTACTTCGTTACTTGACACCTCTGGCCCCCGGGCAGCTACGGCTACAGTGTAGCTTGCCATTATCAGTGTGATATTGTAGAGAGAAGCTCTTTGGAGTCATTAGATTTGATAAAGATTTATAAAAAATGTTGAGGTGACAAATTTGATAAAAATAAAAATCACACATTGTATTTAGTTAAAACTTAAAAAAAAGAACATACAGAAGCTGATTTTAAAAATGTTTTGGAAAGGAGAGTAAAGCTGTTCTACAAAATTAGCTCCCATTTACAAAGTCATATCTGGTTTGGGTATGGGGGGGGGTTCTGTCTTCTAATAATTTCAGAGCTTTATGCACTTATTTAAAATAAATAAGATCAAAAAGAAAAAAAATCGAAGGGTGTGCACAGGGCTTGTGCGGCGATTCCTTCCAGGTTATGTTTATTGGTGTTGTGCACTGAAAAAACAGCTAATTTAGCAGTAACCTACTGAGACTTAGCCTTAAAATATATTTTGTCCATGACTATCTTGTGTAGAACTGCCCTGCCAGCAGACCTTTCTATGATTTTGTCAGTCAATAGCATATCCCGCTCCCAAGCCACTGTATGTTTATCTTTTAAAAGCTGTGAGCCATATTCATGAGCAATAAATGCTTAAAAAAAAAAATCACACAGAAGTGATAATGGTCTTCTTCACTAAAATGAAGAGAGATTATGAAACACAGGAGACCAGGTTAATTAAATGGATAAATGGGATGAAGGCGTAATCTGCTATACAATAATTTTTACTTTTTTAATGTTGTAACTGCAAATTGTTGATGGGGAAAAAATGCAAATCATGAAGTGATACGTTTTTTTATGTTTGGCATAATGTTTAAATGTATGTACACATGACTAAAGTTTCTGGTGTTTTGGGAGCAGAGGCTCACCTGTCGGGAGCAAAGGAGAGACGCCATGATGCACATGTGAGGAGTCAAGAAGAGCTTCAGGCGCATGATGAGGATGGCCAGGACGGCAAACGCTACCAGCTGTAGGCTGTGGTACACCATCTGCAGGACAAGTTCACAGAGAAATACATATAAAAATATCATTATTTATTTATTATAAAAAAGAATGCTTTACTATAAGGAAGTCCACAAAAAGTA